TGATGCCACTTTGTCCCTTCTGTTTGAAAGGTGAATGTGTACACAATATGGCAATGTAAACTACAATTAATGAACTCCAGAAAAATATTTCTGAATCCTCCAATAAATCCAGCATGGTAATAAACTCCTGAAATAAATTAGAAAACATGAGACATGCTCAAATAACATGAAGAGGCAAAGATGCAAGCTGTTTACATAAACCAGAAATGACATCTTAGCTTATATGATGTAATGTTTTTATACAAGCCTGGTAGACAAAACAGTTGTGATGGTGCCAAGTGTTTGAAAGGTGATGGAATTTATTGAAACTGGCCAAGACACAAGTTCCAGCTCTGATTCTAATGCCTAAATACTATCTTCAAATATATGAAGGCAGAAAAAAAGTTTAAAAGCATGTTAGTGAGATTGTATAGTTCAAGCCATCAACAATTAGAAAATACCAGAATGAAGCATACTTGAATAACCTTACATTGGACACTTTGTTGAAATTATGATATAGTCTTTAACTGCATGATTACATACTAATTTTTCCACATAAATTCTGATTCATTCAGCATACATAATGAATAGTGTGTACATAATGAACTATTTTTCTTGTAACAGCTAGTTGCTTTTGTTCAATGTGTAGTCCCAGGACTTATTTGCTACACATTATTCATATTCTTCTCTGAAGAAAAAATTATGAATTTCATCATGGGTTTTTCCATGCACCTCATGGGTTTTCCAGGCTACTACAGTGTCTGTCTGATTAACAAACATTCATTAGTTTATTTTGAAAACATTGCTGTGAGGGGAGGCAGCAGTATGCTTCCATTTTACACATGGAAAACTAAGGCACAGGAAAATTACTTAATGTGCTTGATGTTCTCTTCAAAGCCATTTTTTTTTTAAAGTCCTACTCTCACAGAAGTCAGTAGCAGCCATTGGTTCTGAGTACTCCATGGTATCCTTCTCTGCCGGCAAATGAACAAGGAGAATTTGTCATCCTGGGGTCGTGTGTGGCTTTGGAAGATGTCATGCACTGATACACATTAACACTTCTCTGGCAGTCACACCAAAGCATGGCCTCTTCTGCCCTGTTCCTTGAACTTGTTCCTGTCCCCCTTCCTTCTTCCCCAGTCACACTTCACAAGTGCTGTTCTTCATTCCTAAGGCTGTCCTTTCAGTCCCAGTCTCTCTGCTCAGCAAGTCCTAGTTCCATCCCTTTAGTCCTGAGCTCTGTGGTCCAAACTGCCCAGTAACCCCATCTTGTACTTGCTCATTCTTTAAATTAATCTAATTGGAGTGAACATACCCTCACTTTTTTGTTTCCCCCAGCTTTCCTTCCCTGGGCATGCTGCCTGAACTTAGACTTCCTTCCTTGCTTGTTTATCTTCATTTCCCATTCCGGGTTATTTTGTCCAATTCCCATTTAACTTAATCCCCATCTTGCAAGTCTTTCCTGTTCTTGAGGACTGCCTCAAATCTGTTAGCACCTCTGGGGTCAGTTTTCTTGCCTGACTCCTTTGTCTGTGTGCCCCAAGTTCCAACATCCTCTTTGAAGGTTTGTTTCTGTGCTCCTCTCCTTTCTGCATTTTGACAGCTGTCATTGGATAGGTGTCTTCTGCTTTCCCTCTGTCTGTGCCAACAAAGGGAGGGGAGTGGATGCCGGCGTCACCGCTCTCGGCCCGGTGGGACCCACAGCCACAGTGCAGCATCTGTAGGGGGAGCACGGCACGGCCACAGAGGAGCCTCGGGAAATTCAGCTGCTGACATCCAAGACTGTTCTACCAAGCCTGGGAAAAGCTTGGTGTTTCCCAAGACTTTCTGATATCAGCTATATATCTATAGCATTGGTGTGCTCATGACACAAAAGAGATCCATTCATCTACTCAAGGTTTAATCCCCAAGTAAGGCTAATACAAATTTTATAAAAAGGACACCAGAATGTTCAGCACTGATTAAACATTCATTCCTGGCCTAAGCTTACGGAAGTATGGCTACAATGTTCCAATATGGCAAAGAAAAATAACAAATGCTACACTTTTTCCTATACACACAGTGAGTTCAAGAGAGTTCAGAGGAGCTACACGTTAGACTGTGCATCAGACTGAGCTGTGGGATTGGACCCATGTAAAAGAATAAGAGCAAATAATGCCTTTGAAAACAACAGCTCATAACTGGCTTTATAATGTTGCATTACTTTGAACCAAATCTTATTAGGAGTTTTTATCTAAAAAAATTTCCAAAGTGCATATATTTCTTATCTCTTATCTAACATTCGTAAGTTTTAAATTGCTTTGATTCATTAGGAGAGATTACAATGCCTGCAAAAACAACACTGAAAGAAACCCAGAAAAAAAATCAAAAAAAAGAGAACTGTCATGATATTATTAATTTTCTACTCCAATTTCTAGATTTGTGGCTCCCATATATACCTTCACAGAAGGTATAACCCAGTTTGCTGAATATAAAACATCTCAATATTAATCTGCTCATCTTAGAAAACAAGAAAAATATTTTGCTATCTACATAAATTTTCCATTACTGCTTATGTTTCTACTGCAGCACTGCTTGCAATTCCAATTAAGTGCATTGCAGAATTTGACATAGTTGGATGTATAATGTTATGGTTTCATTGGTTGTCTTTCCAGTTAGTACAGCTTAAAGACCAAGGACATTTTCAGAATCTGAAAATCTAGCACAATTACAATTTACTATGTGTAATACATTGCTATTTATCACAAGACTTTGTTGAACCTCAGTGATGACAATCACCTTAAGAACATCACCCTTTTCAACAAAGACATCCTAAAATAAATTGCAAGTATTTATAATGCAAATGTACCCATGTGCATCCTCGGGGATCTAAATGTATGGCGTGTACATTTGTACACTTATCTCAAAGATGAAAGCTTTAACCTTTGCTTCCTTGTTTTGTGTTTCCATTAAAACAAGCTTTTTGATGCATAAGTGCCACCTGTAGGAAATATTGGAGTATGCTCAAGAGCAGCCCTGTGCCAACTGAGGCACTGAGTTGTCTCCCTGCCATCCCCAAAACAGGCACCTCCTGTGGAAATTCAGACATGTATTGAGGAACACCTGGATGATGGCAGCTTGCTTGATGAAGGTTAGTTCGTAAAGCCACATCTACAGGAAAGTTGTTGTTTTCCAGTGAAGTCTAACCAAAAAGGAATTGAAACAAAAAATACTATGTTTTTCCATTTCTTGTCTGTATGACATTAATCCATAGCAATCAAGCAGTCCTTTTCTATTGCATGTTGATCCAAATAGAGTTTGCCGTGAATAACATGGACTACTTCACTACAACTCCTTAGGGTGCACAGATATGAAAAGATTGCATAATGTATCTATTTTAAATTATATCTACTATTAATTAAAAGGAATACATGTGAAAAAGTGTTTTAATGAAAAAAACAGTGGAGAAAAAAATCTCCACTACTATAAACATAGTTCAGTTTTCTGTGGCAGTGAGTAAGGCATGAATGGACGGAAGTGCATATATCTTAATTCCAACATTAAAAGAAAAAAAATCAAAGAATTTCTAATGTAACTATAAAAATAATATTGATAAAAAACTGACACTGATAAAATAATAACTGAGACTTTTCAATGCCTTACCTTGTTTTTAATATTATAAGAAAAAATAAGAGCTTACAAAAATTCAGGTTTTTAAACGTTAGAGTCTACCTAGGTCAAAAAAGTGAAGTATTTAATCCCAATTTGTAAAAAATAACAGAGAAAACTGGCCCAACTCCCTCTATAGCCATCAGCTTTAACAGTTATGCTCCAAAACTACGCTCACCACAAGGAAATAATTTCATTAATTCAGCTGTACCAATCACTATACAGTACCCCCATTCCTTGGTGCATTTACTAGGTAACACAAATTCCACACCCAAAGCACATTTCGCATCTAAGAACAAAAAGTTATTTTTAATAATTCAATGTGAAACGACAAGATTGAAATTATCTGGTACACGAGAACAAATGATATGCCACTCTAGAAGAAATATTTGTTCATTGTTTGACAGGCAGTGAGTCTGTTTAGTTTTGTCAGTCACAGTTGGGTACAAACGACATGTCTCTCTTCTCCCCTAGTCAGCCGTCAGCGTCGCTTCGAGCACGTACACTTGTTTTGGCTGTCCCCCGTCACCACCTGACATTTATCTGCTTGCTTCAACACACACAACCTTTAGCACCCGCACCTGCTACTGTGAAACCAAACTTCGCGTGCCCGCCGGGGAACAGACGGGCGGACGGACTGACAGCCGCTGTCCCCAGGGCACTGCGGTCTCCCGCGGCGGTGCGGGCGCCAGGCGCGGCGCGGTGGGAGCGCGGTTCGGCTCGGAGCTCGGCACACCCGGGCCCGTCGGCGCGGTGCTGTCCGCGGTGCTGAACCGCCTCCCTTTCGGTCTCCCCCCGTGCCCCATCTTGCGAGCCCCAGGCTCGGTCCGCTCGCCGCCTCATGGCCCCCACGAGGGACCGGCAACAAGTCTGGCCGCTTGCCCGCGCCAACCGGCACATCCGCCCGTCTACCTGAAGCACGGGAACTGCCCTGTAATACAAAGGACTTTGGAGACCGCGGGCAACAAAACCCCACCAGGGCCGCTACCCCATCCTAGCTCCGGACTCTCCGCAGCTCGGGCTATGGCTCCCGTTGCTGCCTCTCCCAGAACAAGCCCCAGCGTCCATTCCTGGCAGGGGCAGGGTTGTGCATCAGGCTTGCCCGGGGTAATCGCACCGCAACGCCAGGCACGGTTTAGGGAGCGGCGGTTTTCCCTCCCTTCCCTCCAGCAAGGTGCAACCTTCTCTTCTTCTTTTGTTCTCAATGGCGGGAGGGTGGCGGCAGCGGCGGGAGGGGTGGGGAACACTTGCACCTACAAATTCATGGGGGATAACAAAGGACCATACGACGCGCGGATTAATTTGCATTAGCATCCATGAGGGCAGCAGCATCTTACGTCTGCAGGGATTAGCCGCGCCGAGCCCGGGCTTACCGTCCCTATCGCAGAGCTGAATCGCCTCCAGGCTGAGGTTCTTGATCACCTCCTCGCAGGGGCTCGTGGGGCTGCTCATGGTGTGCGCCAGGCGCGGAGCCTCCATCGCGCCCCTCGCCGCTGCCTGCTGTGGCTTGGCCGGGGGCTGGGGCTGGGGCTGGCCGGCTCCGGTGCAGAGCCGCGCGGCAGCGCTTCCCGGCGCCGCCCGGCTCGGCTGCGAGCGCTCGGCGGAGGAGGCGGGCGAGGAGCGGATTTGTCACCGCAGCGAGCCGGGGAGGGGGCAGCAGCGAGGCGGGCGGCCGGCGCGCCCCGGGATCCGCGTTTAAAGGGGCCGCGGCCGCCGCCTCGGAGCCGTCCCTTCCCCCTCCGCTCCTTATGTAACTGCAGCCGCGGTTTCTCGGTGAAGCTCCCCGGGAGTTCAACCCCTCCGGGTCAGGCCCTGCGAACGGCCGGTGCGGGTTCCAGCCGGCCTGCCTCGAGCACGGCTGCCCACCGCCGCGGCGTGGTTGGTTTCGAGGTTACTCCATAACCCGACAGAGTCCCCCAAGGCAAAACCATCCCCAAGCCACAGCCAAGCGACTTCCCGTTCCCTGAGCGCACAGCCCACCATGACCGCTGTGTGGAAATCACACCCAACTGCAAGGGCTCTGCCGTCCACTCTGATCCTTCCTGATTATGCAAGAATTTGCAGAAAGAAATATTAGACAGTTTTACATTGATAAACCTAGAAAAGCTGGCAGAAGGTAAATGATTGCAAGAGAGGGTATGGGAATGAGCCATTTCTTGCTATCTGCTCACCTGCCCTTTTTGTGGGAAGGAGAAAATCCACATGGTATTGGTGCCATTCCTATCAAGCCTTTTTGAAAAGTACTTATTTATCAGTTCCCAGCTTCAGGAACAAGAACGGGACCAGAAAAGGAGAAAATGTAAAGAGTAATAGGATAATAAATTAAACTTGTGTAGCACTGCACCATCATCAGGTGTGACAGCTCAGCTCCCTCCCCAGCAGAGGCCTGCAGGCTGGACAGAGGAGCAGCCTCTGGGCCTCGGGCTGCAGGAGTGCAGTGCTTTCTCCAGGTCATGGACTCACTTTGGGATCAAGCTCACCGTGCTGGGATGGGATGACCGATTTCCAGACAAAGTGGTTTGAGCCTGTTTCCTATCACACATTACAACAAGCATTCGTGCCACTGGTTTGTGGTTTCACCAAAATAAAATCGACACTGTTTAGCCATTGGTCATGGGATATCAACACTGGTTGCCTTGAGAAACAGCAGTTCATTGCATGCAGGCTCCCACCAAGACTGAGGCTGTGATGTTTCTTGGTCAGCACTGCATGACAGCAAGTCCAGAGAGTCCCTAAAGCTCCCATTTCTTTTTCTGCAGTCCCAAGACCACCCAGTGTCCTCCCTGACACTGATCTGGCACAGTAGCAAGCCCCATGCACAGCTGGATGTCTGTCATCCCACTAACACTGGGATCCTTCCATTTTTTATGATGGTTTCCAGGGACACTAATCTCAGAAAATGAACTCTGCTGTTTCCTTTCATGAAGCCATGGCCAAGTGCTGCAGCCTAGAAGCAAGGAATAGTTTTTAGGAGCCTGGATTCCTCTGACACCTTTAAAAATCTGTAGTACATCCTGGGGAGAAAGAGCAATGTGGAGCACCCTTCTGGAACTGTGTATTCTTCACCTGCCCCCCCTCCCCCACTTTCTTGTTCATCCTTTCTTTTCCCCTGCTCTTTATTTCTCTGATGTTTTTTATCATGATGGAAAATGTGTGCAGAGGGGTCAGGCAGAGGAGAAACGGAATGAGTAGGAAGGGAACTTAAAGGAAGAGAAAATGAAAAGGAAGTAATAACAGGAAGGGAGAGTGTGAGTCAATGGGGAGGTGGGAAGGGAGAGGAATATATGAATGAATGCACAGACAGAATGAGGACAAATTTAGAATCAGAAAGGGAAGAAATTAAAGTGGGTGAGACTGCATTCATCAGGTTTTAATTTTGTCTCTGACAAGCATTAATTCCCTGTGCTGAATCAAAACCTTTCTCCTTGATATTGCAACTGTTCTTAGCACACAGGCATCTCCTACGTAAGGCTGGAAAATTTCTTTCCCTGAAGATGGTGTATTTAGTCTCTCAGCCTTATGTTCCACATTCATTCCCTTCCACAATGTGGCAGACACTTCAGCAGCTCACACAATCTTGTTACTTTGCTATAACATTATATAAAGTCCATTTGAAACAGACACTGTTCTTGAATACTGAGAGAATTCCCAATTTATTCTCTCTGCCTCTATTTTATACACCTTTCTCTCCTCTACTTCTTATTCTATGCAACTGAAATCAGGTTTTTAAGAACGGATGGATTTTGCATAGCTCTTTGAAAGCGGACAGCTTTGGGGGTGTTCCCATTCCTCAAAGGCCTCTCATTTCTCAGCTACCTTGCAGCAATAACCCCTGTCTGAGCTCCATCTATTTCTTTCTCCACACCATTACAATTTTTTAAAGAAAAGACTGATTAACTCTCCAAATACCAGCAGACTTCTGTGTAAGTATAGAGCAGATAAACCTTTTCCATAGCTCTGCTTTTCTAAAGCTAGACCTGCCTGAGACAGTATTTTGCAGAGTCACACTTCAGGCTGCATGCTTCCTTCAGCCTATCACCACTCCCATCACCTGGGCAAGGGATCAACAGTTTTTTAAAGCTCAAATTCCTCCCAGATGTGGTTCCATGCAATCACTTGGCAATTAATTGAGTCCGAGGTATTTCAGTCTCAGAGCACACAATGCTCTCATGGCATTTTTTTCACCTGAGAGAGCTATACTCGTCTTAACAAGGAATATCACTGTCTGAGGCACAAGTTATGTTTGTGCTAAAGGATGACAGTCTCAGCATATAATCAGAAAGTTTATTCTGTGACAGATTATCCCTGACAGTGTTTAGCAAAAAATGTCACATATCACAAATATGGGTCAACATTATGTAATGGAAAGTCTGCCAATGGCAGCACAACGTTAGAGACAGCAGAGGGTCATGTGCTTAGAACTGCAAAAGCTTGCAAAGAATTTACCACAACAGCAACCTCTCAGACTTCCCACCTTTAGATAAACAGAATCTCACCAACTTCTGTAGTTTAACAACAATGTGTCTGTTATTACAGTAACCTCACACAAGGAGAGTGAAGCAGCATTTTCTAGCATGATGCACACAGCCGGAAACGTGAGCTGTGACACACAGCTCTTGCCTGGTGAGGTTCAACAATCTCAGCTCTCCCACCTCAGCCTGGCATTCACAGTGCCCCAGGTAGGTCAGCAAGATCTTGCTGCAGAGCTACCATTCTACAGCCGAAAGGCAGAGAGGCTGCCAGCCAGCTGGAGAGGTGTGTGGCTTCTTTCCAAAAAGGCACAACCTCCTTCATGCCATAAAAGCAAGGGGAAAAGGGATTCCTGTGTACTCCTTTCCTCCCTCCCCTACACAATTACAAAGTTCAGCCCCACCTGTGTTGCTCTCTGTTTTGGGAAAACTGCTGAGCGTTAGCAACAGAGCACAGCACAGAGCTGGGCTACCCCATTCCCACTATTAGAAAACTCTTTTGTATTTCATTGTAGCAGGTTTTTATCTGCAAGTTATAAAAGAAACCCCCTTTCTCAGACCTCAGCAAGACTCAGAGTTCCAGCTCTGCCTTCCCACTTGGGAATAAAAAACGATTTGTGTTATTGCTCAGTGGACTGTGCAAGCAGAAGGCAAAAAGGTTACAGACATGGTTTTCAGGAAAGAAAAACAGGGTGGAATTAAAGTCAGCATTTTAGGATTATTTTCCTCCTAATAATATGTCGCTTTTGATGAGAAAAGCAAAATATTAAAGGACAGATAGAAAGAAGGATGAAAATCAGTATTGAGGATGAGAGTGACTGAGCCCTGAAAACCAGTCGAGTCCAGGGAAGAGTTACTGAAGACTGTTATATGTGGCTGTCATGCCCTTCGTCTTCAGTGAATGCCCATTTTCAGCCACTGCTAAAGGGACTGCTCTATCCTGGCTAAGTCCTTGGTCTGACTCAGGACAATCACAGAAGTGCCCTGCTATCCAATCCTTCATTCCTTACCACTCACTACTGCCACACCATCCTCATTCATAAGGAAAACTTCAGAGTATGGAGCCCTCTGATGGCACCAGTTGGGTGTGCAAATCTCAACCTAATCTAAGCAATATAAACAATTTAAAGGGAATATTCCTCTCAGAACAAGAAAGACATCAAGCAAATTATCATTTTATTACTGCTATTGATGGTGCTGCTTTTTGAATTTCAGTTTTCTGATTACACAATCTGAATAAGCATCTAAGAAAGACAAATTCTTTCATATGCAAAAAAAAAGTATCTGTAGTTCATAAAATTTATTTGTTCCTTAATGGACACAAAGTGCTGTTAATGCTTAGTATTATCACTTATTAATTTCATTTTAAGTTTAGCGCCACTTTATGAGATCCAGAGTAACCTTAGAGAACAATCTGAACCTCTCTCCTCTGTGCTGTAAATCAGTCTTCCAACTTCTGTAACCACTTCCACATTTAATTAGTGCCTCATCCTCCAGATATTGGGCCATATCTTGACCTTTAAAGGATACTACTGTCTGCTTATCCTTGACAATGCTGACTGCTATTCAGATTTAGTTTCTGTCTACAGTGGCCAGCTTTGATACTTTTAAGTGAATTTTAGCCCCAGGTGACCTGTTTCAGTAATTTCCTTAAGATAGTATGTGGCACAGCATCAAATGTCTTTGTAAAGTCTTGATGCTGTTCTGTCCTCTGCTTATCTTCTGGCTTCATCGTAAAGGATGTGGAGGATAAACATTCTAATTGGCCTGGCTTGGTTTGCTGCAGTACACCTGGGCCATATCAGGGTCTCATTACACTATTCACCTCCGTGTAAATATATATCCCCCTTCAGCTTCACTATTTATAGCATTTGTTCCAATTTGGAGCCATGCCCATAGGACAATAGTTTCCATAGTTACTCTTAATTCAGTTTTTAAAGACTTCTGGCATGCTGACACTTTATTAGTCTCCTGATACTTCCTCAATTCTCTGTGGGGTTTTTTAGCAACTAGCTGTTCCATCAGTTCTTTAAATATCCGAAGGGACACCTCAGATGCATTTGTTTAAGTGATGATATTTCATTATGTATTTCTTAGTTACTTTTTCCCAGCAGTTCATAATTACATCAATGATTTCTTAAGCAAGCCATTATTTAAAGTTTAATCTCCTTCCC